CCAGCTACTTATCTGAAGTAATTATCTGTTGAAGAGTTCATAAATTTGCTTAAAAACCCAAGAGGTCTGAGTGGTGATTCTCCTGGTGTTGCTTGGCAGAGGCCTCAGATAGCATCCCTACTTAACATAGATACACTTAAGTATTACTTCATCTCCTGGAACACAAGTGGTAGATCAACTTACACTGAAAACTAAACTTACTACAAAGTCTTCTCTTGATCCACTCCACATTGAGTATCAGCAGCCTGATGGGTGATTCTATAGAGTTGTTCTCTCTGTTGCCCCAAATCCATAAAATCCATTCAAGTCAGTGCACTGTTTTGTGGTAGGTAGGTGATGTGCAGAAATTTGTCTTTCGCCTTGGAGGGAATATCTTAACACGCTTCACAATAATGAATCTCCAGCAATTTCATTGAGGTTGTGGGCCATTGAAATTTTATGTGGTTTAGTGAGCAGTCTTTTCAAAATATCTGGTATCTAATAAACTATAATGTTATCATTATCGTTCACTCCTGTTATTTTTTTGTAGGATGATCTGTGGACTACTGTATACAGTGGCAGACAGCAGGAGAATTGAGGTACCCCTGAGGCAAGACTGGGAGAGTATAGTGTTGTCCCTGCCAAGTAAAGGCAGAATGTTTCTTGAAATGGATACAGAGGGAAAGGCATTAGCAAAGTCCATAGCTGCATACCAACAGCAAAGGGCCATGTTAGTTACTGCAATAAAGAGAGCACATCTGGGAGAGTAGTTGCATTGGAATCACAACCTGATCAAATTTGCAAGAGCGCATGCTCATTCTCCAAGATCCACCTGACTTCTGCACAGGTCAATACTGAATTAAGTGGGAATGTGATCGGTATTATCATTCAGTTCTTTTACACCTTCAGTCCTGGTATGAATCTCTGCAACTCCTCCCTAGAGGCAGTATTGCTACTAATTACCATCTTAGCAGGCAGGAGAAGTTCCAGGAATTCCTACTTAGCCTTTTCTATAAAATCGCTCTTGCTGTGCGGGATTCTTCAAGTGGCTGTGTCTAATCCAATCATACATTCAAGAACTGGGAAAAACAACCACAGTTATTTTCACAGACCACTGTGAGTTAAACTTGATCTAAGATTCCATCTCTTACCTGAACACCATAATCCCTCACGTTTACTAATGGGCCTCAGTTTTAGGTACCCGGGAATTAGCTTCAGTTCTGAGCAGTGTCTATTATTTACATTTCCCCAATATATAATAATTCTACTAACTAGCTGTATTTACTTGGATGAAGGCTTGCAGGAAAATTGACAGCATGTACTTGTGTTGATTATACAAGGTCCTTCCTCAAGCAAATCTGGCCTCCTTTTTCAGTCAAGAGGTTTGCCTCTGTTATATGACTTAAGCCTGGAAATTAAGTGACAGACCAAGTCTGTTCACTCTAGCAACTCAGACCAGCTTTTTGACTACCAGACCTAGTTTTTTTTTTTTTTTGGTGGGACTGGGATTCAAACTCAGGACTTCGTGCTTGGAAAGCAGGTGTGCTACTGCTTGAGCCACACTTTCAGTTCATTTTACTCTGCTTATTTTGGAGATGGGGTCTCATGACCTGTTTGCCTGGACTGACCTCAAACCTCAATCTTCCCAACCTCAGCCTCTCAAGTAGCTAGGATTACAGGCATGAGCCACTGGCACTTGGTGACCTAGAAGTTTTTTTCTTTCTCTACTAGGCTTCCCATCTATTTTATTTCTAGAGATCCCATGGCTACTCCTAATGATCCCTACAAGCCAAAGTATTCGGATTACTGATATATGCCTGCTGCTCTATGGGGTTGATTTGTCCATCTTTGCCAATTAAGTGCTGCTACCACTTGGCCTCATCATCTCAACTAAAATCAGGGAGGCCAATCAGTAGGCATTCCCCTTAGTTGGGGCATGGTCATACCTAGTCCACAAAGAGGACCATAGAGCTCTTCAAGATTGCAGGTGTCCCCTTCTTGAAAGTATTTCTCAAGGCCTTAGGGAAAGGAGTGCCTTCTCATGGGAAATGTCTTTTGTGTTTGTGTGGTGTTTGCAGGTCAAGGTCACATATGATATATCAAGTCCAACATCTCTACCCCCCCATCTCTGGGCTTCCTCTTCCACATCATGCTTTGGCATCTCAATAGCATTAACTATTAAATTAAAGTTCAATAAATCCACCAAACAAGCTGTTGGTCACCTCCAGTTGCATGAGTCAGCACAGTGAATTTACAAGCACGTCTCTAGTATGTGTAACCACATAACTTAACTTGGTCTAATGTGGTATTACATGCTTCCACCTAGACCAAAGCACTTAGAATCCACTTCCACACTCATTTCTCGGCTTTCCGTTTATACCACATTAGCAAAATCTTATCATTCTTTTGGTGTGAAAATTATTTTATCCTTCATCACAGTGTGTACCTGTCCATCAAGAGCATTGACATTTGAGTCTAGCTACGGGTCTAGTGGCAATGGAGCAGAGAAAGACAATGGGTTGTAGGGGGTCTTGTGGAGAATGAGACTTCAGATTGTCTGCCCCAGGTGTGTTTTCTAGTCTCCTCAGACATGGGAGGAAAAATCACTTCCATTGTCAAGAAAGGCTCAGGTGTCTTGGGTATTCAAGATTGCTGATTGTCTTGTGTCCAAGCAGATTACTTATATCATGTTTTGAGGTTCCATTCTTTCCCAATAAATGCTTTAACTTTCACAAAAAGAAACTCAGCCAGGCCATAAATTCAACTAACATTGTAACTGAGTTTACAGGGAGGTGTCAAACATTGCTGGCCACTGTGTACTGAAGAGTTCAGTGGAAAGGCACACCCTGGAATGAGGAAGAAGAGCTGTTCCTTTTTCAGTGTTCCCCAATATCCTCTACTAATGAAGTTTACTGCCCACTAGACCAAATGACAAGGGAGAAATGTTCCAGTATTCTGAACCAATGAAGGGTGGTTAGGTGCTGGGAACCAGTGGACTAACTGGCAACACACTTCATCTTCATTCCCTCTTCCATAGTCTCTACGCCATCACCACCTGATAAAAACCACAAATACTGAAAACAGAAATGAGGAAACCAAGACCCAAGGGAGCATGCCAAGACCATGAATATCTTTCTAATGCTATGTGCATACATGGCTCTAGGGTGACAGTCATCCAAGTTTGCTGAGGACTGTTCTAGCTTTAGCACTTGTAAGTCTTGTGTTCTGGGAAACCCCTCCACCCCTAACAAACTAATTTCTCACCCTACATCAGAGGTTTTCAAACTTTTTGTGCATCAGAATTACCTTGATCCTGGTAAAAATGCAAGTGATTTTTTTTAACTATGCAATGATTTCAGGTGCCAACAGACCATAGACTGATTTTTGATAAATATTCTACTTGAATCTGAATAGGTGTTAATCACTACTATTAAGGACTCCTCAATCTAGATTTGTTTTTTCTGGTATAAAACTATTATCTTTGAAAAGAAATAACACCCTTTGGGAGAGATAGCCAAGGTTCCTGAGCCAGAAGCAGACATTGACAACTTACTAGTTGATGGGAGGGAAAAAAGATAAACAATTATAGTTAGGCTTTTCTTTCCTTTCAGTTCTAGAATAAATCATTTTTCCTTCAGTGTCACAACATGTCACAAAGAATAATGGAAGCTCTGGAAACTGGACCTAACAATGGTAGAAATACAGGTACATTGATGGTGATAAGGAAACCCAGAGAAAGATCAAAGCTGGGAAAAGAATCAAAGACTAGTAAAGCCCTTCCCCTTAGCCAGGGGCCCGGGCATCCAACTAGCCTGTTAGAAACCAGGATGGCCTTCTTCCACAGCTGTGCTGACATGATATATTGTAACCTTGAACAGCCAACTGCCAAGGCTGCTTGCATTCCCTGCTTGCTTGCTGCTGCTTTTCTCTGTACAAAAACTTCAACCACCCTGAGCTTGGGGCCTGCGCCATTTTGGAGATATCCAGGTGCTGGTTTGCTAGCGTAATAAACCTTCCTTTCTTCCAACCACCTGGATTTGAGTCTTATTCTCGATTGTCAGTCATACTTTCTGTACCATTCCTGCAACAATGGGGCACACTGAGTTTCCTGCAGATAAACACTATCTAGCATCAGGTTTACTTGAAAGATTTCCAAGGTGACAATGTTTTGGCAGATCTCGGAGGATTATTTGCACAAAATAGTTAATTCAGTGCTACATTTACCATTTTAACACTGCAAGATACATGGTTTAACACCGCTGCTTTGGAGATGTTTCTCAAGAGGTTGGATGGGGGAAATAGTCTTAATACCGTTTACATTTGTTGACTTTTTCTATTGCGTTCCAGACATTGCGCTCATCTAATTATCTAATTCTGCCAACGGGAGCTCTGCCCATTTTAAAAAGAAGTGGGGTACTTATTCTAGATTATGGATATCCTAAACCATGACGTCTGGACTGAAACTTAGGTCTGTTCACCCAGGCAGAATTTGCTTAGCACTGAAGAGCCGAAAGGCGGAAGGCCTGGTCCCCTGCCCTGCATGTGAACACAAGGAGAGCGCATCTCGGGGGTGCTCACGTCTCTCAGGATAAAGCGCAATGGCTTTTGCTCAGCACACCATGACCTAGTCCTCCAACTCTGTCGCTCTTCCACCAGCCCTGCCGGATTTCATTGGCTCTTTGACAAACAGTCCAAAGATGCAAGAGCTTGGATGGCTCCCATTTTCGGTAGCCCACGTCCTGGACACTTAGGCTTGGGAGACTCGTCTTCATTCCCAGAGTCGCCATAGGCCGGCCTCATATCGTTCCACGGCACCCTCAACCCCACTGGTCAGCTGCAACCTTGCGCTCAGCTGCACCTTCCGCAACCCGGCCCTGTGTTCGTAGGGGATGTAGGGCTGCCCGGACTCCAGCGCGCGCACCGGAAGCGGCGGCGGCGGCGCGTGACGTCGGGGGAAAGTGCGTGTGGCCGCGGCCTGTGATTGGTAGTTGCAGCAGTTGGTGCCCCACTCTTAAGGTTCCCCAGACCACAGGCAGTAGATTGGCTTGGAGTCGTGGGGGCTGTGTTAAGGCCGAGCGGGTTCCGACCCGCGCGCCCTGCCCCGTCAGTAGGTGCGCACGCCTGATTTATTGGGCGCAGGGGGCTGGGAGAGTGAGGACTGCCCGCGACGTCCGTTTCTGGGCGACCTCTGGGGTCTCATCCTGGGCAGGCGGGTCTGGGGTCTGGGTTAGGGAAGGGGATTAACCCTTACCCAGCACCAGGCTTTCTCTTGCGAACTCGCTTAGTCTGCTCCGCAGCCGGGTGAAGCGCTGGTTTCTTTGTTTATTGAGGAAGAAACTGGGCTCCGAACGGTGAGGTCGTCATGCCGCAGGCCGTGCAGCTGGGAAGTGACAAGTCCTGCTTGTCGCCAGAGTTCCTAGTTTTTTGCACTGCAGTTGAGTTCTCAAGCTTTACCTGTGTAGAGGATCCCAGGGTGGAGGTAGCGTTGGGTAACAAACAGGGTCTGGGACGCCACAGATCGAGTAAGTTTGGGGTGGGACTCGGTACTTTGAATAGTTGAAGGTGTAACTTCACACCCGACATCCGATGTGTAACTTCGCCCTCACGTGAACGGAACAAGAAGGCGAGCAGGTCGTAGCCCCTCTGGGGACCATAGCTAGTTGTCGTCCTGAGCTTTTAGGGCCTCAATTCAGAAATATCAACCGGAGGCGTCCTTCCCACGTCTTGTGGTGCTGGAGAGTTATCTTGATGTGTCGTTAACTCTTGGGCAGATGGCAGCCTCTGCAACTCTCTATTAAATGATAAACATGTAATTTTTTTCTTGGTGGGATTGGGGTTTGAACAAAGGGCTTCTCGTTCACAAAGCAGGCACTGTACCTGTTGAGCCACACCTCCAGTCTATTTTACTATGGTTAATTTGGAGATGGGGGTTTCCCGAACTCTTTGCCAGGGCTGGCCTCAAACTGTGCTCCTCCTAATCTCAGCCTCGCAAGTAACTAGGATGACACGCATGAGGCGCCGGAGTCCAGCAGCATGTGATTCTTATTACCTAGGGGAACTTGCTTTGACTACAGATTCCTGGGTCTACCTGAGCTCTATTTAATTGAAAAAGTAGGGGAGTGGGCCTGGGAATCTGTAGGCTGAACAGGCTGTTAAATTAACTTTTACCTTTGAGAACTTGAAATGTAAAGCTTTCATAGAGTCATAAAGAACACCTGACCTGACCCTCCTTGGTTTTGTTTTTGTAGTTCTGCATGCTTCTGTATGTGCTGTGGGTTAAACTTTTATCGTGGAACATATTGAGTCACTTTTCCAGCTACCTGAAGACTGGAAGTTAATAAAATTTGAACTTTTACTTTACCTACTATTGATTTCCTGAGTGACTTAGGTTAAGTTTCTAAACCTTGTGGTCACCATACATATGGGCATATTATCATCTACAGTGCTTGTTATAAGGACAGACAACTATTTATCCTAAATCAGATTTCCTGAAGGTGGGACATGGATATTTTAAATTTTAATTTATTGTCTCATTTTTTATGATTTATTTTTGACAAATAATTGCACACATTTATGAGATATAGCCTGATGTTTTGATATATAAAGTTTACCTTATAGAATAAGTAAAGCTAATAAGTCCATCACCTTACATGTTTATCACTTTTTTGTGATGAAAACATTTAAAATTTGCTCATAGCAGTTTTGAAATATACAGTGCATTGATATTTATTATAGTCACCATTTTGTGCAGTATAGATCACTAAAGCTTATTTCTCTTGTCTAACGGAAACATTGTACCTTTTGATCAATATCTTCCTTTTCCTTGTACATCCTGCTCCCCTAGCCACTAGGAATGACCATTCCACTCTTCTATGAGTTCTACTTTTTTAGATTCCACATGTGAGATCATGCAGTATTTGTCTTTCTGCACCTGCCTTATTTTACTTAACCTTCAGATTCAACTGTCATGGGTGCTTTTAACAAGATTCCAGGGAAGTTTGATACAGCCAGTGACAATGGAATATGGAAATTGCACATGGAAACTGGGTCTTGGCCTATTTCTCAATGTATGGGACAGTGGGAGTATTACCATTTCCTTATGCTCTGGAGAACAATAAAAGTGATTTATGATAGGACCTGGCTTTCGAATTTCTTAACATGCACTTTCTTGTGGTGATAAGTGACTTAGAAGGCTTCTTGACTGAGACGTTATGATGACAATTTTATATAGAAGCACTGATTGCCATTGAGAAATCCCTTCTGCCCGAAAGGATTATGATTACTCCTTAATAGGCCAAGCTCTCATGACCTTAACTAAAAGCACATTTTTTTAAATCAGATATCATCGTGTGGTTTGAATCAGGAATGAAATCTTCTGAAAGCTGAGACCAGAAGACCTTTTGTTCAACATGGACGACAAAAGACGGCGAGCCCGAGTGCAGGGAGCCTGGGCTGCTCCTGCTAAGAGCCAGGCTACTGCTCAGCCAGGCAAGAACCTGAGAGATTGTACATGTTTATGGATGTGGATGGCCATCTTGCGTTTATATTGTTTTGGCTTATAATCAACTCCCATTTCAGTTGATGTTAAAGAATTGTTTAAAACATGGCTAGCTGGTGTTTTGTCTTATTCTGTTGATGGTGAGCTAAGGGTGAGCTTTAGTGTTCCTTCTGTTTAGCTGATACCCTCACACCTTTCAGAGAGTGTTGAGGTCTTCTGTTGACTTTGCCAATTAGTTTTAGATGTCCTAGAGTCATTCCAAGTGAGTTTAATGGTTCTTGCTTAGTAGAAGACTTTTCCCCAGCTTGAGGTTGTTCGTTCTTTAATTCTAGCTACTGCTGCTGGGAGTCATCTCCATCAGCCACCTGGACAGACCTGGAAGAACAAGGAGCATCATCTGTCTAACACAGAGTTTGTGTTCAAAGAACCCCAGGAGGTAAATTCTTATTTATCCTACAATAGTCATAAAGATTTGCTCATGAAAGCTGGATTCAGTAGAGTGTCTGCTGTGCAAACATGAAGTCCTGAGTTTAAACCCCAGTCCCGTTTAAAAAAAAAAAAAGAACTCTAAAAGCTATATTTATGTAGTAGGTGTTCAAATAGTGACTGAATAAATTTACTAATGAATACCAGAACTAAGAACTATAATAATGGAATGGGAACTATATTAGTTTCCTTGTATGTCTGAGAATTCTTCATATTCTTCCCCCAGATTATGGTCACATATTTATTTGTCAGGGAGGTTCTACCATGACTAGGGCTTGTACTGGTGATCTAAGGTTCTAAAACCAAGCTGTCCTCAGTATGTTCCACTAAGTGTCTTTGAAATCTCAGTCATTACAGCAAAATGCCTTAATTCTAGATTTTTTTTTCTTAGAGAAAAAAAAATGTAAGAAACAGAGATAATTCACTTCTTTTTAGTATGGGGTGCTGCTGGGGATCAAACCCAGGGCCTTGTGCATGCTACACAAGTGCTCTTCCACTGAGCTATACCTTACCCCAGTCCTCACTGTTTTTCATTTATTTTTGAGACAGAGTCTTGCTGGGTAACAGGCTGGCCTTGAACTCAAGACCCTCCTGCCTCAATCTCCTGAGTGCACAGCCTCCTGAGTGTTGGCATTACAGGTGTACAGTGCTACCATACTTGGCCTCACTTTTTAGTAATATGGAAAAAGAATTTTAAAAACTCAGGTATCTGCTATAGTAATGATTACATAAATAATTGTTTTCCAAAAGTCCTTATTTTATAGTATGTCTTCCATTAAAATCTAGGGCAAAGTGTCTCATGCCTGTAATCCCTGCTACGTGGGAGGCAGAGAACAGGAGGATCAATGATTGAGGCCAGCCTGTGTACAGAGTTACTGAGATCCCATTTCAGCAAACAAGCTGGGCGTGGTAGTGTGCTACTGTAACCTCAGCTATGTGGGAGGCATACTTGGGAAGATAGTGGTTCAAGGTCAGCCCAGGCAAAAAACCCAAGACCGTAGCTGAAAAATAACCAAAGCAGAAAGGGCTGGAGGCAGGGCTGAAGCAATAGACCATCTGCCTAACAAGCTCAAGGCCCTGAGTCTTAAGTTTGAACCCCAGTACCACAAAAAAAAAAAAAAATTCACACACACATATATACACATATATACATATGTGTGTGTGTATATCTCTTTTATATAAAGGTTTTTCCAGAGCTACTGGCCAATAGGAAAACTGATTAATTTTAATTACTACTTTTCTGTCTGCTCAAAAGTGTGAGGTAGTTCTAAGAGCAGAAACAAGGATTTCAGGTGGAATAGTGGGAAGTTGAAATAAAAAAGAAAGTTTACACTGATTTGTTTTGACCAGAAATGAGGGTTATGGTAAGTCAGATTTCCTGACAATTAGGAATCATTCTAGAATTAAGATCTGCCTGTTTCCTTATAGGTACTCCGCAGGGCCCCAGAACTACAAGTGATTGAGTAAGTAATTTGCTGCCATCCTATAAGTGTTGCCCACGGTGAAATGGGCAAGATCTTTCCCTTACTGTTGATTTTTCCATCTGGAATAGAATGGCCTAGTAAGACCCTTAATTTGGAGCTAGACATTCTTATCCCAATCTTGATCTTTTGAGAAGACTTTCTGAATTTGCTGATGGTATGGAAAATGCAACAAAATGTTTGTACATTAAATTCTGAGTCTGATGTAGATTTCCTGGCTGTATTTCACTGGTATCTGCCAACAGTAAGCTAAATCATCTCTTAGTTGAAGATGGAGAGGATTTTCTGAGTCATGGGAGCTTGGCTTTTTGAGAAGCCTTTCAGTACTGTTTGCATGCAGTGCTTATGAATGCTGCTGCTGTCTGGATGGCCTTACCACCCATTTATCAAAACCACATGATTGTTACAGAGCAATCAAATGATACTAAATATTCCTCTTGTATTGATCAATACCTGAAGTGTTCTTACCCAAAACTGGTGAGAGATACGTTAACCTCTTTTTGATTCTCAGTTTCTACCTGATATAAATAAATAGTCAGTAAAACTATCCTCTTATTTTAGCATTTTTGCACTAGATGGATGTTCTTGTCTGGGAGCAATCTGTTTTGCTATTCAGCTGTTTGTAGGTAGACATGTATATCTTAGAAGAATTTGAAACTAGCAAAAATGTCAACATAATTTCAAAGAAGTTATCTAGTCTTGCCTTTGTCACTAGTTAACTGTGCTGAGTGCCGTGGCTCAAGCCTGTAATCCTAGCTGCTTGGGAGACAGAGATCAGGAGGATCGCGATTTGAGACCAGCTCGGACAAAAAGTTCACAAGACCCCATCTCAACCAGTGGCTAGGCACAGTGATATATGCCTGTCATCTCGGATAGGGTCCAGACTGCCCTGAATGTAAAGCTCTACCCTATCTCAAAAATCAAAAGTGCTGCTGGAGTGGCTCAAGTGGTAGAGCATTAGCCTGCAAAGTGTGAGGCCCTGAGTCAAATCCCAGTACTGAAAAAACCAAAACTGTATTACTAGTCTTTAGGGAAGTTATTCCATCTCTCTAGATTTTTATTTCCTCATCTGTAAATTAAGGATTTGGACTATACAATCACTTAAGTCCTAGTTCATTTCTAATAGTCTATTGATAATAAAGAGAGTAAAGAAAAATATGCAAATCATTATAGATGGGACATTCCTACAAAAAAAAATGGGCAACTGTGAGTTTGGAAGTTGAGAGAAAAATGACAGAATCCATTTCCATTTGCCCTGGGGTTTGTTAATTCTGATCTAAAGTTGACTATATTACATATTGTTTATGTAATACCCAGTAAAGTGCTCCATATTTAAAGTGAGCCAGTTTCTAAATTGGGTCAAAATTGTATTAAATGTATTAAAACATTGTATTCCTACTCAGGAATACAGAGTTGTATTGACAACTAGAAATGTAAGAAATTACTGTAATAATTAAATTACTGTAATAATTACTGTAACAATTAAAATGTAATAACTTACTGTATATGTGATAACTGTGCCCACAGTTTTGGCTCATCTGGGCTCACACATCTACCTAAGAGCCTCATGCAGGGATCATGGGCTAACTCCCATGACAAAAAGTGATGTGCAAACTGCCCCATTTATTCTATAATGTATCTCTTAAGGATCTGACATAGTTGTAGCTGTCCATTTCGTTGTGGAGCTTATACTCTGCACAACTGCAGCAGTTTTGTGCTTTTCATGTTTGGCTAAGCTCAGTAAGCTTTTATTGGCCATCTACTATGTGCAGGCCCTGGAAACAATAATAACCCATTCCTTGCCCCTAGGGGCCCGCAGTCTAGTAAATGAAACAGTTGTGTAGTCAGACTGTAATCTTGCATATCATAGAGCACTAGACACACGTATATAAAACCTAACACTAGCAGGCAGGATGATGTAGGTATCATTATTTGCATGGATTAAGGTCAGGAGAGACTTAGAGGTGCTTCTGAGTGAGGGTTTTGAAGGGTAGGTTAGAGTTTCCCCTGTACCAAAGCTAGGATGAAGATGGTGATCCTGAGTGGCAGGGGGGCATTCCTACCTTTTTTGTAGAAAGGCACAACGTCGGTCATTGGTCAGGAACACAGGAGTATTCAGGGGATTCCAAGCAGTCAGTTGTTGCTGGAGGGTTGAGTCTGCTTGAGCTGTCAGAAGAGGGAGCTAGATCACGAGGCCCAGGAGCACAATTATGGGGACCCTTTGAAGAGTTTTACTCAGAGACAGAACCTCATTAGACCTGTATCTTTGAGATCATCAGGAGCCCAGAGCCCTGGGGTGTGCTTGCCACCTGGGAAATGCATCCTCTATTCCAGACTTCAAAGAGAGACACTCTTTGTCTCTATTAGACAACCTTTCATGTGATAGATTCCTGGATCATATCACCCTAAATTATGGGTGAAATATGAAGAAGTAGAATCAGAATTTATTTATTCCATTTTTGTGTTTATGGTTCTATTCCCAGTGCCATTAATGATGTACCACTGTCTCACCCCTGGTCTTGGTGGTAGAAGGTAGAGGTTATATCTCCCCCACACTGCTCTCTCATAGTTAAATGATTTTAGTGAGCCAGGATTTGGGAATTCAAAAGTACAATCCTTCCACTGATTACTGTACTGTTTTGCCTCATACTAACAAATGTCCTGCCTCTTCCTTTAGCAGGGAGGGTGTGTATGAAATCAGCCTGTCACCCACAGGCATATCTAGGTAAGTGAATCCTTACTGGAAAATACTGTAATTATCAGCAAGTTAGAGTCTCTTTGTCCTTTTATTTGAAATAGGTAATTTCTACCTTTTAAATTCTTAGAGAACAAGAATTAGATAATACTTCCTTTTTATATAATATTTCTAGCTTCAAAACATTTTCACAGCCTCTATCAGATATAGTTACTATTGCTTTCCCAGTTCATCAGATGAGGACGTGAAGCCTAGAGAGACTGAGTTCTTTTTCTTAGTGCCATGTAGTAACTTAATATTAGAGTTGGCTGCAGCCTTGGCTTCTATGCTGTGAGTGCTGTATTATATTACTTATATATTACATTTTATGAATTACATATACAGTATTATATATCATGTTATATTGCTACTTGGGGGTAGATTGCAAAAAAAGTGCCATTATTTTAAAAACATCACTGTAATGCATGAGTATACTAATTATCAGTATAAAATAATGAGACATGTAGACAAATGTATCAAAATTTGCATATCAAAATGAATTGCTTGGCATTCCACTGGCCTTGGTTCTGTAGAGTCCTCTGGCACTAGCATGTTTACAACCCTTTCTGTAGCCTTCCCTTCACAGCAAGGTTAACAGACATACAAGACCAGTTGCATTATTTTGGTCACATCTCATTGTTAACTAGGTAACTTCAAGTGAGCTTTGACTCTTTCAGAAAATTAAATGCACTTTCAGAGTAAAGATTTGTTGCCACAGAGGGTATTCATGAGAATGTTCTTTGGGCCTTCAGAACATTTCTTAAAAAAGATATTCAAAATGATTTTTTAAGCCAAATCATTGTTGGAATAATCATATATTTAGAGAGGGAAAGAACCCTCATTGGAGTATTCTTGTTTTGATACAGTCATAATGATCTCTTGTTCCCTAGAACTGGCATAGTCTCAAAAGACTGCCGCTTATTAACACAAGCCCAGACATTTTATTACTCGGTTTACTCTTTAAAGTGATGTTATGAGATAGATACCATTTTTGAGTTACAGATGAGAAAACCAATGCTCAGAAAAGTTAAGTAACTTGTCCAAGGTTTTACAGCTAAGCCATGTGGTCATTTCTGCTTCTTAAATTCTCGGTAGTATTATTTGGTAGTATTCCAATTCATAAGTAGTGTTTGAACCACAACATATAAAAGTCCTCAGGCACCCCTTGTCCTTGTGGCCTCTCTTGTCTTAACGTGAAAGGAATTTACTTGACATCGGGAGCCTCATGACTTGGATGACGTTAGGCTCTACTTGCTGTGGGAGGTGGTAAGATGATTTCTTCCCCGTCTAGCGGGACGATCCAGGTGGAATGATTTTGCTAGTGGTTAGTCTGACCCGTGATTTGCATAATCATTAGTTAATAATGGTTTTTCTGCATCAAGGGTGTGTTTGTATCCTGGTTTTGTTGATTTGGAAGAAGCCAACTGGATATTGGAGCAGCTTTGTCGGGATGTTCCCTGGAAACAGAGAAAGGGCATCAGGGAGGGTGAGTAGATCTCTGAGGTGGTGGTGCTGCCTGGATTCCCCTCCAGGTGTTTGCTTATACTGCTGCCTGTGCTCACTGTAGCCAGTATGAAACATTCAAACCTGAGACCCTGCGGAAGAGTAGGAATTCGCCAGTTATAGGGGACTGGGAAGAGCATTCCAGGCAGAAGAAACAGCTGGTGGAAAGCCCAGAGCTCAGGCAACAGGTGGCACAGTAGAAGTGAGAGTTTAAGGAGCCAGAGGAAGCCTTGTTTGGCTGCACTGTAGCTGACATGCTTACCTTCCTTTCAGTTTATTAGCTGTGTTCAAGTGTGCCAACTTCCTCCTTCATAGAAGCTTCCAGAGCTTGGTTTTTTTCTGATTCTGTTTTGGCATTCTTCTACAGTCCTTCTTACTAACTTTTTATTTTCATTTTACTTTCATCAGAGCCACCTAGTGTCCTTTGGTTTCAGTGTCTGTAACACCCCCTGAACTTGTAAAGGTACAATAGAGCTGATTAGCTGACTTTGAACCTTCTCTGTGGGCATCCACAAGCAACATCACCTGTGATACCCCAGGTGGTCACTGGGGGGAGTGTGTGCTCTAGTGCAGAATTTTCTTTTGGTTACACTGAGTGAATTTAAATTTTCTGTAAAGAGAGGCAAATTAAATACTGCATCATTTTCGTTACTTGCCCTTTAGAATAAGAGTCGGATTTTCAGGGCAGCCTTCTCTTAACTCCTAGAAGTTTGTACAGCGGGGTTTTTGGTTGCTTGCATGCTTTTTTTTTTTTAATCGTACTAAGGTACACTGTGACATTTACAAAAGTTCTTACAATATATCAAGTATATGATATTTGAATTCACCTCTTCCATCTGGTTGCATGCTTTGCTTGCTGTATCACAGTGATGGTTGATTTTAAGCAAATTACAGTTAAGTAATTCTGTAATTCCTGGCTTTCTTATCTTTAAATGGAGCTAATACTATTATCTATATTATGAAGTTGTTGTGTTCATTAAATGAGGTAGAGCATGGTTAGTGCTTAATAGAATGCCTAGTAGATAGTAAGCCTTAATAAATGTTAGCTGCCTTTTGTTTTTGTGCTGTCATAGAGGTCAGGGCCTTGCACATGCCAATCACAAGCTTTATCAGTGAGTTACGTCCCCAGCCCTGCCTTTTATTTTTATTGTAATCAATATTGTGGGAGAAATATCAGATCTATGGACTGTTCCCTTTCTGGATAAATTTAGAAGTTACAAACTTCTGACTAAATTAGCTACATGCTACAGTGGGTCAGAATACTTTTTTCCTCATTTTGAATCAAAAGGGCTTATACAGTGTTGGACACATGGGTGAACAATTTGTCTTGTTTCTCATATGGATGTCGGTTCCATAAATTACTACATGTAAGAGTCTAGGCTCCTTATCCTGCTTTTTGTTGTTACCAACACAAACAAGTCACACACACTGTCATCTCCGGGCCTTTGCCCAAGCTGACTCTGCCCACGTGCCTTTTCTTCTTTATAACCCTCACCCTTTCTCACCACATCCCATATTCTCTGTGAGGGTGGAACCTTGGGTCAGACCCATTCTTTGTCTTTATGTTTCTCACCACTTCTCTCAGTGCCAGGCTCAGACTTGACTTGCAGTAAGTACACCTTAAGTAGCGCTAAACCATCTCAAGAGCCCTGTATTTTCTTTCTTAGATGTAACTTATCCTCAGCCAAGACTTACAGCATGGTACGGAGAACTTCCTTACACTTACTCAAGAATCACTATGGAACCAAATCCTCACGTATGTTGAAATACTGTCATTGGTATAGTTTTATAGACTATATGGTATTAAGTGTTGAATTATACAGTAACAGTAAATCCCAATTACACAGTAACAGTAAATCCCTTGCAGAGGTACTTGATGCTTCCTAGTTCAAAAAAATGCTCAAGTTCAACCATTGAGCTTTGTGCTTTTGATCTATGGATGAACTCAGAGGATGAGAAAAAAGTGGAACTAAAGAAAACTGGGACTGGAGTCCAGGATTTCAAAAATGAACTATTTCTTTTCCTGATACCTCCCTTTCCCAAGCTTTTCTGGCTGTAACCCTCCTGGTGTGCATTTGCTTCTGTATCCTTCTACTGGCCAGTGAGGGTCAGAATGGCTTTTTCCATTTCTTGGTCTCTTTTGCTATTTGTGAAAAAAATCTGGTGTTTTTTAAAATTTTGCATTAATTCAATAGGTACATTTCTCAGACTTCCAACTTACTACTTCCTCGGCTAGTTTCTACTGCTTCTTTTGTTTTTAAAAATTTCCATGACAGTAGACAAAAATATTTTAGGATATAAACTAAGTTTGTCCATAAGATAAGTTTGTCCAAGAAATTGCTCCCTGTTTAATTTCTGGAATCTTGCCTTTGGCAAATGTTATGCTTTATTGAAAGAGACTTTGAAGAAAGTAGAGTTTTGCTTATTGCATTCAGATATACAGAAATGTGATACATTTTAGAGTGTCTACTAATATTTAAGCGCAAACTACCATTCTACTAAAATTTTCATAGATAAAACGTTGACTGATGGTATATGGCTTATTGTATAAGGAGATATGCTTGGGTTCCTGGCATGATTTGGTTCCTAAGGCTGAATTTAGAGTGTGACCTAGAGAAGTGTTGAGACTGTTTTTATCTGAGTTGATTTGGAAACACTGAGAGAATTGACTTGGACCCATCCAATATACTGCATTACTCTTTTTCTTATTTATTTATTTATTGATACTGAGGTTTGAACTTGGGGCCTTGTGCTTGGCAGGCAGGTGCTTTTTCACTTGAGTAACACCCTAGCACTCTCTTGTTTCTGTAAGAATTAATTTACCTTCTTGTCAACAGTCATAACAGAGAGGGTGGGGATTACACAGGCTGTGAGGCAGCTCTATTTCACTCATCCTAGTTAATTTTTTGAGAACAGATTTCTCTGCGTCCATGCTGTCAATGTTTTGGGCAAGATCATTTTTTGTTGTGGGGCTGACCTGTGCTTTATAGGGTGCTTAGCAATATCTACAACCTCCATTCACCAGATGCCAGTGGCACTTCCTCTACAGTTATGACAGCCACAACAGCCACAATGACTCCAGAGATCGTTACATGTCTCTGCTGGAGCGTAATTGCCCTTGGTTGAGAACCACCATTGTAGAGTACACATAAGTCTCACAAGATTTGCTGAGTAAAGTAGCTTCTTGCTGTCTTTCACTTTGGAGGCATTTTTGGGACAACTTTTCAAAGAACTTTTTAATGACAAACTTTTTTCAATGATGTAAGCAAGGTAATACATACTTAATAAAAATTTAGAAACTGTGGATAAGCATAAGGAATATTAAAATTTTTGATAATGTTTCACCTGATGTTTTAGTTCCAGTAGTTTAAAATTTTAGACAAAGATGTGTGGAAAATTTTTTTCTATAAAAGTAAAAATAAGGCCAGGCACTGTGGCTTCTGTATGTAATCCCAGCTATTCAGGAGGCAGGGAAAGATTACAAGACCACCACTTGGGAGGGTGAGGCAAGAGGATCTGGAATTCAAGGCCATAGCAAGACACTGTTACAGAGAAACAAAAACAAAATAAAATTATGAAACTATGTTTCATTTGACCATATCATTATCATGTTTTAGTATCACTAGATATTCTTCCATATCACATTTAATATCTGTATATAGTCCACAATCAAGTACCGTAATTTATTTAACCAAGCCACTTTTGCGGGATATTAAGGTTGTCAAATTAGAATTCTTTAATCTGGAATTTGGTGTGTCTATTGGTATAAACTTAGTTCATATATTGAATTAAAATCTAGAGTTACCCCTTTCTCAAATTTCTTTAAAGCATTAATGTACATGTATGTAAGTTGGGGGTATTTAATTAACTTTACAATTATTATCACCTCAAACTTAGTGTTCCATACAAAAGAGTCAGGTTCAACTCATAGTTGGATTTTTTTTTTTTTTTTTGGAGACAGGGTCTTGCTCTGTAGCCCAGGCTGGCTTAGAATTTACAGTCCTTCCACCTGTACCTCCTCAGTGCTGGGATTAGAAGTGTGTGCCACCACACCAGCTTTGCTCATAGGTTTTTAAGCTTGTCTTGTTCTTTGTTCAAACTAAATCTTATGTAAAACAGATCAAAGTCTTGACTGTCTAAGAGTCCCTCCAACTTGACTTTGCCCTTCTCCTTCTGAAGACCCAGAACCATCTCTGTGGTACCCAGGACTTTACAAAACATACTTGAAATCTTTTACTTCTGTGATTTATATTTTCTCATTCTTTTCCTCAAATGTCTTTTAAGGATAGAATGTCTTCACTGAACAGTGAGATGATGCTGAATTTTATTTTAGACATTCAGTTCTGAAGGATCTGTATATAGAGTATTGGTTACAGAGTCTAAATTAATCCTCTGGTTCATTATCCTCTTTTTTCTCCCTTACTCTGTACTTCACTACCAAAAATAACCAAGAAAAGATATATACCCACTTAAAAACATAATGCAAACTTGATGTTAGCACAGTGCTTGGTCCCTAAGCAAGTCAGGGAAATGCTAATTAGATTCTCAGCCACATTGTAGAAGAGTGATCTTCCTCCTTTACATTCTTGTTTTTCTTGTTAAATCTATAATTCTAGCATCTGATCTTTATCTCCATGAAAATAAATTTAAGGCTGTAAAATAAATAGGAAATGCAGCTTACTGACATTATTATTGGAATTTCATTTTGGAATTTATTCTCTTGAACACAGGTTAGTTTAATAATATTTTTGTTTTACTTCTCTAAGCTGTGTTTATTGTTGCTGCTTAGTTTAAAAAATCTACTTAGAACACAGTTCTAATAACCATAACAAGAAGGCCCAGCTTTAACCCTGGTTTTCCCATCAGGTTAAAGCTGAGTGGTGTTTATATGTGCTTCCCAGGCAGTTTTACTTGGCTGTGGGTGTAGGAGATCCTTAATAATGCTGGACTTTCCTTTGCTGAGTGTCCATTCGACCACCACCACCATCAGCATGTAACACAGACGTCCAAGTGGTTCTGCAGCGGCAGTTCTTGAAGTATAACCTTTGGATCCCTGGGGGTAGGGGCCCATAAACCCTTTTGGGGTACCCATGAGTCTGTTTTCATAACAATACAAGACTGTGATGTTTTCCCTGTGTTGAATTTGCATGCTGGTACAAAAGTGCAAGTAGATAAAATTGATTAATGTACCTTAGCACAAATCAAGGCATTCTTGCCAAACTGAACTAGTCATGTGCTCTTCACCACCCATGCACTTTCAGATTAAAGTTTAAAATGCCAATTTAACTTAGTAGTAAGCATTGTTAGTTTTATTAAATCTTTGTCTTTGACTACCTGTCTTCTTAGGAGTTTGATGAAATTGAAAGTATGTATAAAGTGCCTTGCTTACCTCCTGTCCAAAGGGCAATTGTTTGAGCTGTGAGCTGAACTAGCAACTTTTCTTCATGGACTATTTTTAGTTAGAACTACTGGCAAGCAGACTGGTCATTCAGATTCAAGTGTTTAGCACATATTTTCTCATAAATGAATGACGTATCACTTCAAGGAAAACAATAGACAGGACTCATTACTAATGATAAAAGTTGAGTTTTCAAACAAAAATTAGAATTTTGAAAAACTAGTATGCATTACTTTAAACCTGACCTCTTCCCATTACTTAGACTTTTCTGATGAGATCAGTGATTGTATTAACAGGTGCAGTTTTTCATTATTGTATAATAAGTGTGTCAATGTTGAGAAGATCTGTATAACTCAGGGAACAAATATTTTCTAGATGACCAATGATTGCTATTAGGAAATCTTATTGGCTCATTCTAAGTCTGAGCTGGAGCAAAAGAGTATGAGAAATGTGACATGGTTTCAGATTCCACATTGTAGCTAACCTTTGAGAAATCAGTACTTGCTGAATTATGGTATAATACCAAAGAAGAGGCTGTAAAACTTCATGTTGAGATGAAATTAATTTTCTTAATATACATCAGAAACAATGTGTTTTAAAAAATTGAATGCAGAAGCAGTTATAAGAATTAGCTCTCTTCTGTTAAATTGGACATAAGAGATTTGTAAAACAGTGCTGCTCTTCTCATTGATTTTTTTGTTTCTGAAATTAGTTTTCATAAAGTATGTTAAAATGCAATGCTTTTGTTATTGCATTTAAAATGGGTTAGCCAATGGTTTAATTCTTTTGGTTTTAATTTTTAAATGGTAAACTTCAATATCTATAACCCATAAAAGCAAAGGTATTTTGGGGTCCTCAATAATTTTAATAGTGTAAAGTTTGAGAACCAGTGTCCTAAAATGTCTTTAAAGCACTTGAGGTTTTGGATAAAACACAGAATTCTAACCAAGAACCAATACAAGTTATGCTGATTGTAGCTCAAAGTACAACCCAAGGTTAGGGTCATAGCATGGTATATGTGCCTAAGCAATTCGGTCAGTGAGCAATGTGGATGCTGGACTAAGTCTTCTGCAGTTTACAGCCCTTACATTGATAAGAGCATGTCATAATTCCAATTCTGCTGAAAATAGTGTTTATCCCCTTTGGGCTCCATTTTTAGGAAGTTAGTCACTCATAACACTGTCTTTTAAAAAGGCAATTCTGTCATTGAGGATAAAGTAGGAATAGAATGAACAGAGGGCACCCAGCAGGAACATTCTTTCACTCCTTAGACTTCAGTCTGGGTCAGCTTCACCGCTCTATTTACCACCTTAGATATTTTCCAGGGTGCCTGCTCTGAATGGATTGACATCTGCTTTGTGAGGGTCATGTGTTTAACATGAAAAAGATGAGATAGGCAGATAGGTACTGGTCTTCTTGGCATTGCTCTTCCACAGTTAGTGCTTTTATAAATTTACAGAGGTTGACTTGCTTCAAAATAGAAATGATTGTAGGGAATGAACCTATTGCCCCCCTTGCCTTTTCCTGATTGCATTCCAAGTGATTTACTTATTCCATGCCCTGTTTGTAACTTGACTGAGTTTGCCTTTGTTTTCTGTTTCTCCATGTGACTGCCTCCTTGTGTCTGTGTGACTGTCCCTACCCTTGCCTCAACATGTTGGCTACAGTGGCATCCCGTGCTGAGCACACTGAAGAACCGCATTGAAGAGAATACAGGCCACACCTTCAACTCCTTGCTCTGCAATCTCTACCGAGATGAGAAGGACAGTGTGGATTGGCACAGCGATGATGAGCCCTCACTGGGGAGGTGCCCCATCATTGCCTCACTCAGTTTTGGTGCCACACGCACTTTTGAGATGAGGAAGAAGCCCCCACCTGTGAGTATTCTTTTTTTATAAAATGTTTTTCCTTCCTCCTATTACTCTGTGAAGGAAGTAGACCTCCTAAAAGCTCCTATTTCCAGATGTAGAGGAGAAGAGTAAATGTGTATTGTGAAGCATTTTCAACTGATTGCTTATCAAGAGCAAACTTTTGGCTTTCAAAGGCCCCATTCACTCTTCGCCAGCAGAAATTGCCTGTCCTGTCCTGTCTTGTGCTGCGGGCTCATTTGTTTAGATTTTGATGCTGGGAATTGAACCCTGGGCCTTGCACATGCTATGCAAGTGCTCTGTCACTGAGCACATCCCCATCTCTTTTCTTTTTTTTGAGACAGTGTCTTTCTGGCCTTGAGCTTACGATCTTCATTCCTCAGCCTCCCTAATATAGGGATTATAGCTGTGCGCCCCCACACCTAGCCTGGGGGCTCTTTTCTGTTAATGAAAGGACAGACACAGTCCCTTTCCTCATGGAGCTACAGCTAGTGGGGATAGACAGGTACTGCTAATTATTCAAATAATCTCAATTCTGACAAATGCTATGGCAGAGGGCTTAAAAAATGGTAACACAAGCTAGTGGGGACTAGAAGGGAGAGGAAGGAGACTAAGGAAAGATGCCCCATGCAAAAGCCTTAATGATAGTATGACCACTTTTCTGTGAGGCAGTTTTATGAGCATCTCATTCCTTCTTAGCCTTTACCTAAAAGCCTGTGACTCTTTCACAGAGCGCTCATGCCAGATTATCAGAGGTGATGGATGTCTACTTTCATGGAGAAAAGCAGTAACTAAATTTTAGTTTTTCATCCCAGCTCTAACCTAGATTATATGACATTTAAGAGATAATAAAGGTATTAATTTTTTAACTCTTTTTCTTTGTTTTTATGCTAAGGACTAAACCCAGGGCTTCCTGTAGGCTAAGCGTGTGCTGTACTACTCAGCTATCCACTCCCCATCCTCATTTTTTGAGTCGAGAGTGTAGACCCTTAGGACAAAGATGGAAAGATAGTAGAAACTCCAAGAAAAGAGCAAACTTCCAGCAGATTATCCTATTGCCAGGTCTTCTGTTTTTTCCTAACCAAGGTGCCTGATTATTCAGCTTGTATTGTCAAACCAGACCCATCAATGGGGAAGGCAGACAGGCTGTTTTGAATATGACCTAGTCTAGGCTGCGTCATTGTTAGTCAATCAGTGCTCACATCTGTTCTTCATCAGATATACTCTAAAGAATACAATTGGCAGACCAGACTGGGTTGTCTTCCTGAGATGAATTTGGGGTTCCTTGTGTGTTCTTTTGAGCATATTGAGGTCATTTTGCATATATGCTATCAAGTCCCATTTGTTGATATAATTTCCATTGATTAGGTTTTCTTTGCTTTGTTTATGTGGAAGCTTTGGTCATTGTTGGCAGGGGATTGTCAGTTGCCCGAGTTGCCTGTATCTTATTAAGTTAACTTGTTCCCTGAGCACTGAACAGCCTTTGTAGTGTCATCAGTAAGCAACCTTGTCATGTAATGGAGAAGTAAGACTTGGGAATCAGATTGCTGGCTTTTGCTGTAGTCTTTTTATATATATGGTTTTGCTTCTGTGCATGGGCACCTACTCAGTTAAGTCCTGACTTGACACATGTGAAGAATTCATCCCACCCTTAGTGAGACTCATGTTTTATGAATAGTAGAGAAATGGTAACAGTGTGTGTCTCTTTTTTCCTTGGCAGTACTGGGGTTTCAACTCAGGGTTTGTGCTTGCTAGGCAGGCCCTCTACTACTTGAGCCATGCTCCTGGTCTTTTTTGCTCTGTTTATTTTGAAAATAGGGTCCCAATTTTTGCTCAGGACAGCCTGGTCATGATCCCCTATTTTATACTTCTTGCCATAGCTGGAATGATTGATGTGTGCCACCACACCCAGCCATTGGTTGAGGTGGGGTCTTGAGAACTTTTTGCCCAGGTTGGCCCCAAATTTTGATCCTCTCAGTACCTCCTAAGTAGCTAGGATTACAGGCGTGAGTTACTGTGCTCGGCCAGTGTGTCTCATTGTTTATGTCCAGACCCTCTACGGCAGACATGGTGTGGTGGGGCTGACACAAGCTGTGGGGTGTGTCGTCTTCCATGTAATACCGGTCTTTAGTTCTTCAGTCATTTCTTTGTTGCTAAGTATTTCAGTCTTCAGTTACTGTTTCTTTACACACATACATTGCCACTACCTCCTTTTGAAAAAATATTTGGAGCCTGTTTATAGACTGGAGCTTAAGAATCCCCACAGTGTGCTTTCTGGGAGTAAGTAGCTAGAAACTGCATGCACAGTATACTAAACATTAGCAATATTCTGGTGCTCAGAAATACTCCATTCTCTCTCCACTCCAGGTAAGAAGCTTTCATTTTCTCATGAAAAGACCCAATAGAAAGGCTGGGGATGTAGCTCAGTGGTAGAGTGCTTATGTAAGGCCCTGGGTTTTACCTCCCATAACACAAAAACAAGACAAAGCAAAACAAACATAATTCATGGTGATGAAAAGCTATTTCTTGATAATATACTTCAGTTTGTCATAGGTTAGTATGTGGATGGAGAACAACTAGCTGTATGTTCTGTGGGCAGCCATTTGGAATATAGTCTATGTGTAAGAGGAAGACTGCCCATACTGAGGCATTTTCTCCTTAGGCTTTCTGGAGTTTGTTTTCAGGAACATGAGTGAAAGTGCAGGCCATGAAACACTGAAAAAGAGGTGAAGCCCCCTTGTTGTCTGTTAGTGTTAGGGAATCTGCGCTGCATCAGGAAGCTGACTTGATGAAAATGTAGATCTAGTAAGTAAGAATTTGTCCAGGCTCTTGAAACAAAGCTGGCTAAGCAAACAGGTTTGGGAAGAAATACAAACATGTCAATGCTGCAGGTTATTGGCTGTAGGAAGTTTTGGCTTCTGGCCTGGTCTTAACTGTGACTGAATTCGATATAATTTTCATGTATCTTCTCAATTGTGCTTTTTGTTTAAGATGGAGAAACTGAATGGTAATATATTTGTAATTATACTCACACATTAGTGAATACAGGGTAGAAGTTAGATTCTTGGGTAAAGAGGATATAAATTTAAACTTTTGAAAAGATTCTTTCAGGTTTCATTAACAGCTTGCAAAAATCTGGGACTCCACGAATGTAACTAAACTAGCTGCGAGGAAGCCTTGACAGCCACAGAAATACTTTTTAGGGATACATTTTTACCCTTTTTATGAAGGATTGAAGGGAAATGGTTGTTGCAGATCTGTCTACTTTTCTTTCTAAAGTAGGTGGTTTCTCTGAGAACATGACTCATGGTTCATATACAAAGTATAAATTAAAAAGTACAAACTAGGTTAATCACCTATGTGGGATTTGTAGGATTCTGGCATTCCGTAACTGTTAGGGACCCATCTCAGAAAGCTAATACAGATTTAATTTTCATGGCTGTCAACAAGATATGCAAAGTACATTAACGGTTGTGGGAGGGAATCTTTCAAACTCCTGTTGGCTTTGACCTATCAGGTTAGAAGTTATATGTGTTTGGCTTGAGTCACGGTTTCTCATCTGAAGCTGACAGAAGTCATGAGACTTCTTGTACTTTGTGCAAGTATGCAGTTTTGAGACACAAGCTTTTGTTTTGGGCCTCCTTTCAAAGAGAAATAGTCTTGTTTTGTTTTCACATATTTAAACTACTTTACCTCTGTGGCAGCTATTTGTTTCACAGTCTGGCACCTCCATCAGATCTCTGACTGCTGATCTTCTGAAAGCTACCTCAGTTCCTTGAACAGCCTTTGTGTTTCCCTCTGTGCTGAGATGGGACTAAGGTCTCTGCTCCCTAAACACCAGTGCCTCTCTGACTCATACATTAGCACAATCCACTCCATGCATGCTTCATCCTGGGATTAAATACTGCCCTCCTTCAAGCTGCCAGGCCTTCTTGCCTTCTTTCATTGTATTCTCGTCCAAGTGTGTCAACTCTTGCTCATTCATTTTGATCTCAGAGTACATTACCCTTCCCTTAATGGTGTGACGGTACTGGGGGACATAGTAGACTTGTTTGATCTTGTGTTCGCCCCTTCTCTTTTGTGTGGTTCCAGTCAGATATTGAGTAGAGAACACCATATCTATATCTGACTATCTATGCCAGATTATCCTGTCCTAAGACCAAGGCAAAGCTTATCAGAATATACCTCAGTAGACCTTTTGTGTTGGACAGGTGGGTTCATGAAAGCTTTTCTACACTTCTTGTCCCAAATCGAGTTGTACTTTTCACACAGCATCATGTCCTTGTTTACAAAGATTAGCCTGGTTCTTTTCCCAGCTAGCTTTAATTCTATACAGAGGAACAAACTGGAAGAGGAACTACAAAAGCCATTTGGCAGGCTGCTATTTCTCTGTCGGTTACCGTGGAAACACTGATGGCTTGGGGAGGGTTATTAGATAATAGCAGGAAGTTTGTGATGCATTGGAGGTTTTGATGCCAAAAGCCTTGTTTTTCTAGCAAATTACCCTGAATGAGCTTTTTCCTTTATTATCTGAATCTTACAGATATGAGGGGCTTTCTTTCTATCTCCAGGTGATTGAACTGAGGCAAGTTGGGCTTTTCTCTTATCGCTCCTCTCCCAAGTCCCTTCTGAAGGGTGTACATCCCACCAGAGGGGATGGTTATAAAAGGAGGTCTAGTGGTAGAAACTCCAAGAGCACCCAGTGAATGGGGGTCCCAGTGCCTCACTTGCTAATTTTTTTTTTTTTACATACTGCTGGAGTATTAAAAGATCAACCTGATCATAAATATTGATAGCTTTCCAGGACTTTAGAAAACAAGATGATATTAAAATCTAAAATAATATGGTATTGCACAGCTTAATTTTGGATGCTGGGTAAACTAGAACTGTGTGACATGTCATAAAGACTGAGCCTCCACCTTAGGCAGCAGCCCCATTGCTGTCATTCCAGTCATCCCTTCTTACTATTAACCCATCTTCGCATAACAAGAAACACTTGAGAGAAATTC